AAATAATAATTGCGCAATAAATCGAGTTTAATTATAGAAATTCATTTAAAATGGCTCAAAACTTCTAAAATCCATATCTAATTCATTCGAACTCCGAATTGAGCCATTCAACTTGCAAAATTCATCTAAAATTGAGCTCTACATGTTTGTTTGGTTTTTATGTACTGTTTCCTTGGTTTTTATTAGAGTTTTTCCTCGTTTTGCATGCCAGCGTGTAGTTTCCGTCGTTTCGGAAGTCCGCGGTCGCAAGGAAAAGAGTTCGGAAGATCAAAGTGAAGAAGCAAGGCAAGTCACACATTCCCCTTGAGCATGTTGATCCCAATTTACAAATGTTTTACTGTTTGCAAATAAATATGCATGTTTTGCTAATTACATGGGGTTAGGGTTTTACCTATCTGCTCGCTTGTGCCATGTTTACTTGATATCTTTCCTTTGTCAACCATGGGTAATAAATCGCCTAGCTTGTGTTACTTTGATGACCTAGCTAGAACTATATGCTTAGCCATGCTTAATTACCACTAGCTCAGTCGATGGGATAATTGCAGTATTAGACATTCTAGTATCTTGTCGAGCTGCGTGCTCGAGACATCTGGCCATGCTTCATGGTTGTAATTATCCAACTAAAATGCGACTGAATGGTGGGCTGTGGGTGCATGGTTTTGCTAGTCGCACCCATGGCAATTAAGGACCGGTTCGCGGGATGCCCTGGAAGAACTTATCGTACTTACCACAAGCCAGCGTGGGCAACGGCTGGGCTTGTAGTGTAGCTTTTCTCTAGCCGACGTACCCAGGCGAGGGTGGGCGTGATGGAGTTGGGTCGGCCGGGGTGTCCGGTTGATCGGCTTCCGGATTCACCGCGGCATGAAAGGGGGGCTGCCCGTTGCCTGCTGGGGACGGGGGCGAACCCTAAGGTGTGGTGCGATCGGTTAGAGGGGGTTATGCGAAGGGTCCTGTCACGGCCTCTTTCCGGTATGTCGTGGTGGCATGTCGTCGCACGGAAACGTGTCGTGGGGCTGTGTCTTGTGGGTACAGTTGTACACCTCTGATCAGAGTAAAACTATTCGAATAGCCGTGCCCGCGGTTATGGGCGGTCGACCAGATTCACCGTGATTAGTCCCACCCTAATAAATCGACCCAATGCACCGTAGTTCAGGTGGGTTGGTTGGGCCTGTTCAACGTGGTGTAGCGTTGATCAGTGGAGATTTAATGTTACTTTAATTACTCAACCGTTTTACTGTTTTGCTCAATAAAATGTTTTACAACCGCCTTTATGCAAATAGCCACAAACCATCCTTGTATCCCCTTGCACGTCTGCATCGTTGGTGTGGCTTGCTGAGTACGGTGGTTGTACTCAGCCTTGCTATTATTCCCCCTTTTCAGAAGTGTAGTGCTTCTGAGCTGAAGACGAAGTTAGAAGACCAAGGCTCAGACCCCAGTTGAGTTTTGCCTGTGGAGTGGAGCTGAAGCCCCGCTAGGATCGCCTTTTCTGCTGCTGCTGCTTTTGTTTCGGTGTGAGGACTAAGTGCCTCTTCTGTAAGTATTTTACGCTTTATTTACGTTTGGAACTGTATATTACTTGTCGTTTTGTGTACCCTGGCTGGTCCTGGACAGGGATTTAATACACAAAATAGTCTGGAAATTTGGGCTAAATTTCTGGGCGTGACAATATGTCATTCACCGCACCCTATATTGTCCCCTTATACTTTATAGGGTGTCCTTCTGGATTCCTTCTTGGGTAGTCTTCTGAATTTCTTTTATTCTTCTTCCACGCTCAAATTGTTGATATTCTATTATCAATATATATTGAAAAACATATTTAGCTTATATCAATTTATTCATCTGGTTGCCCATGGCCACCAAGATCCATTGTGTCCAAGATTCATCTGGTTGCCCATCGCCTCTTTTTCTGAACAGTAATTCTGCTACTCATAATAGTGAATTCAGCACTAAGAATAGTAGTAAATAGTATCTCAGCACCTACAATAGTTGCACCACTTCATTTATTTGAGCAATCTTTGAAGACATTCAATTCCTAATCAAAAGGGTTAGTGTTTGTCTTAGTAAAGTGGTATCAAAACACACACACACACACACACACACACATATATATATATATATATATATATATATATATATATAGAGACACACACACGCGCGGTTCGCTATACCCAGCTGGAGTACGTATACTTAATTGAAGACGTGAATTATTTGTCACCACACATGTGAGTTGTGACTAGCTTGTGAGTATCGTTTTTTCTGACAAATTAATTAAGAATACGTACGTACGGCCGGCTTGGTGGATGAAATCTTTCTCTAATAACCTCTGATAATTAATCAAGTTGTTAGGATGTTCGTCTCATCTTGGTTTTATGTTTACACGCATTGTCCGGCCGGCCACATGCATGCATGATGCGTGCACGATCGAACAGCTTAGCTAGGTTATCCATCTCATAGTTTGACTTCAATTTTGGAACTTTTTTCACGAACGCGCAAAAAAAACACGTCAATATATTATAAGAAGGGAGTGTTTATTTATGCAATGTAATCAGCTAGACCGGCTTATACCAAGGAAAGGGAGAAAAGGCAAAACTAAAAAACCAAGGAAAAAGGAAGAGACGACTACTACTACGGCTAAGCGCAACTCCAATCAACGGGAAGGGGGCAAAGCCACACTACCCTTGTAAGAAAACCCCAAACGAAACAACGCCAGCTAACGACTATAGATGGTCTTTGGTGAGGATGGACTTCAATTTTGGATTAGTTGGACTAATCAAGTTAATTGCCATGCAAGTAACACATGATTATTATTTGAAATATATCTCCCCTACCTGGATGTTGTTGGGGACTTGGGGTCCGTTAATTAGGACTTGCTAATCATACATTGCATTCATATTAAAATTCTTTTTCCCTGACCACGAAAATATACCATTCACTTTATCAACAAAAATAAACCCCAAAAATCCAAATCGATCACAGCTAATCTGTTGTGTACAGTTACAGCCTCATTTCTTCAAAACTGTATTGAAGCTAGCTAATCTTACCAAACAACAGCAAATATGAAACATTTGCAGAGCAATCAATCTGTTTCGGGTGGTTAATATATAGCAACCGCTCTTTTCATTGAATAGAGCGGTAGAAAATACAACCCCTAGTAGTAAAAAAAAAAGAGGGGTCACTGTAAGCTATACACTATACAAAGTGAGGACGAACTCACGCAACCATTTAGCCCCTACCAGAGCCCAAAGGCTAGCCTCTTCTTTGATTTTTGTTAGGAGGAAACTTGTTGCCACCTCTTTATGGTCGAAAATCCGCTGATTTCTCTCCATCCAGATTTCACAGACAACTAGCAGGATGAGAGATCGAACTCTCTTTTTAGGACATTGGGTGTATTTGCTAGGTTCTCCCACCACTATTGGACTGTATGGGCTTCCTCCCATTGGGCCGGGGCGACAGCAACGCGAGATCCGTGGGTGCTGGCCTCTCCTCATGCTCGTCTGGGGACAGCAGCCGGAGTTGAGGGTGGTGGCTAGAGTTGAAGAAGATGGAGGTGGGTTTAGTTTTGTGTTGCACTTTGTTGTATTAAGGTGTTTCATTTTGTTTTGATTCGATGTTGCATATATTGATTTTTCATGTTGCAATCGATATGTTTCGATTGCATTTGGTTGAAACACTTTCGTCGATGCAATCAAACATTTTTCCTTGATTGATAAAACATCTGAAACATTCTCAGTGAAACATTTTGCAACAATACAGTGCAACAATCGTATGATGTTTCGGCTTTTTATATTTTTTGTTGCACTTTATTGTATTAAGTTGTTTCATTCCATTTTGACTTGATGTTTTGCATGAATTGATTTCTTGGTGTTACAATCCGCCAATCCGTATTGTTGAATATTGCATTTGGTTGAAACAATTTTCCTCAAACGCTGAAATATTATTTTCTAGGAGTGAAACATTTGAAATATTTTTTTTGAGGGATGAAACATGTGAAGCATTCCTCGGTAATACGGTGCAACACCGTCCGACGATTTGCAACACATTGGACGTCCGATCCGTAGCTGGCTCCGCCTCCGTGTTTTAGTTTAATCCCATCACATTCTCGCAGCAAATGTGATGTGAGCAGCCCAGCTAACTCTTTGGGCCGTCGTGGTGCATTTTACTGGGCCATGAGCTGCAGTCCGTTTCGGTTTCGGCCCATGTAGCCCAACTTCTCACCAGAGCCGCAGCCACGTCTCGGCGACTTCGCCGCCGCCACAGCAGCCGCCACGGTTCCCTTCCCTTCGCCGTCGTCGACCACCGGAGTCCGGAGTGGCGGCGGCGGGATGTTCTAGAAGAAGGATGCATGGTCCGGAGTCCGGGGCAACCTTTGCCGCAGAGGTCGGCGTCAGCAGGTGAGCTTACTGCCTTATGAGCTTCGATTGCTAGATCAATCGTCTGAACTTTGGTGGGGGATCAGAGTAAGGGGATTTGGGGATAACTAACAGAATCTTGAATTTTACTGGGGATTTCGCCTCCGCCAGATGCGTGGGAGGATTTCACATCCGCGCGTAAGCACTAGGTAAAATTCGCCCACCTCCTTTTTTTTTTTTCGCGATTCCATGTAGAAGAATCACTTCAGTGCTTATGTCTGAATACCTTTTGTTCGGTTTGATGAAAAATCTCGCAGTAATTCCTAGGCAGTTCTCTGTATCAAGTAGGATTTGTATCATTCCCCCTTATAATGTTCATCTCATATGTCTGCTGATACTGAATTTATGTCAGTAAGCTAGCTGCATGTTTTTTCGTTACATACTGCATAGTTAGCTAAAAGAGGCTTTAATTATGGAGGGATGATGCTTCTAGGCCGATGTTTACTTGTTAAAGGATTATTGACAACGATGGTAATTAATGGGTGCCAAGTGAGAACATATTCCTTTATGCAGGGCATTTCTTGATTGGGATGGTGTTTGATCTTGAGAATATTCAGGCGTTATATCTGACGGAAACAAGGGGGGAAAGGGTAAACATTAGGCAATAATACCAAGTTTTTCTTGCACAAGGCAGATAAGACAAACACAGGAATTGTACACAGGCATTAGTTCAAGAGCCCCACTAATGAAGGAAATTAAACCCATGACAGTTGGGAAGGGAGACAAACAAGCAAACATACTAAATATTGGTGCTACAATGCAAGCCAACAATTGGTGCATGGAAGAGGAGTAAGAGCCCCTTCAGCATCTTTATTCGATACTAGATACTAGATACAAGTTGAAGTACTTCAGAAGTAGCTGGAGAAGCAACGTCAACAGGCAATTCAAAGTGGAAAAGAAATAGCAATGTTAAGCATCCTTTTCCTCCAGGGCACACAATGAGTTGAAGCCATGGCAGTTTATTCAGTTTGCTTCATCCGTAGGCACCAGTCCTTGTGCATGATTAGTTCCCTGCTGCTGGAATGTGCTTCAGACTGGGGTCATTGGGGTGTGCACTGATGTCATGCAGAATCACTCCAATCTTCTCCGTGTCACAGTCACCGTGAAGCTGGAGCTCCCTGAAGCTTAGGAGGTGATCGATCCCGACAAGAGAATCCATTATGGTGAAACGCCAGACCAACCTCTCGAGCCTAGGAGCTGCTCCCTCATCGAACCTGATGCTGACAATGTCTGAGTTCTCGATCAAAAGAAACTGGAGGTTTCTGAATTCCCTTCCGGAGATGGTGAGGTTGCCTGGGATGTATGACCTGTGTCGGAGCCTGAGATAGCGCAAGCCCACGAGCTTGCCCAGGACATGGATAGCACTCTCTGTCAGGGAGGTATCACGCAGAGTAACCTTGGTAAGTTTGTGGAGATGTTCTATCCACAGAGGCAATCCACTTCTGATGCCAGAGATTGTCAGGCTCTCGAGAAACCTTGGGAGTGTGGCATCCATCATGCTCATGTCAAAGCCCTTGCTTCCATCATCGGCAGAAGATGATCTGATTTGGACGGACAGAGAGCGTAGGCACTTGTGCAACGTGCCGATTACATGAAGCAAACAATCAGAACCATCCTTATCAGCATCATGGAAGACCACACCTAATTTCCTCAGCTTCAGTAGCTGGCTAACAGCAGTCAACTCCTTTCCACCATGTGAAACTTCAATATGGGATAGTATCTCCATGTTTCTCATCTTCCCAATTCGGTGGGGAATGTGGACGGCAGAGAATGATTCCTGTTGCCTGACGATGTCTTCACTTGGACAGACAGTATGGCCTGAGAGCAAATGCTTGAGCCTAGGGAGCACTAAAGATTTCCTGGGGAAGACACTGACATTCGTCTGCCTGATGTCTAGCGTTTCCAAGTGGATCAGCTTCTCCATTTCCTTCGGCAGTTCGGTGACATCTGTATCCCGCAGGCTCAAATACTTGAGCGAATATATGCCACAGATGTTCTTCAGGTGGCGCCTCTTCAAACCTTTGCAGCTATCCAAATCTAGCACTTTGAGCAGACACAGCAAAGAAGACGATGGCAGGGACTTGAGAAAGGTAAGAATATCATCGATAGGTTCAGACAGAGATATATGCAACTTTGTGCTGAAGCGGATTGAAAGATGGCGAGCCAGTTCTCGTGGTGCCAAAACCGTGACAACAAAAGTAGTATCATATCCTCCGGATACCAGATCAGTAATGACATCATGAACCAAGTCAAGTACCGTGCAGGTCTTGACCTTGCCTGAAGCATCAATGTCGCTTGGACAGAGAAGCAGCCTGCCAACAAGGGAATCAAAACAGTTATCAGCTTGTTCTAGTGCATTCATTTCTTGTCCGTCAGTGATGAGGCCTTCAACAATCCATCGTCTTACTAAGCTGGTCCTCCTGATTTTGTAGCCAGGTGGGAAAATAGATAGATACAGCATGCAACTCCGATACTTATTAGGCATATCAAAGTAGCATAACTCTACCATCTTCTTAGGCCAGTAATCATGCAGTGATCCTCTATTGCCTAGTGCATCGTACACTTGGCTTGAAGAACCACTCTCATTATAATACAGAAACCGAAGGAGCATCTTCATAAAGTAGATTTGAGGTTCAAGATAGATCAACATGCATGGTAGAATTTTCCGTAGCCAACCTTCCCTTTCATGTTTAAGCAGAGATATAGCTCTACTGAGGAAGAAGTTGAGAACATGACCGGAGCTATCTGGATTGAAGGTTTTATACGGAGAGAAAGTCTGGGCCACTTTATCATCATTATCTGTTGTGACTATAATGGCACTACCAGCAGGACAATCATCTGGGAAAGCAAGCTTTATATGATCCCAGATCAATTTGTCACGGACATCGTGAAGAATAACAAGGAAGATTTTACCTCTCAAATAGCACCGAATCTTCTCCACCAGCTCCTCCTCGTTCCAGCCATCCATTTCACTCCTGAACTTGTTCAGAGGGAGAACAACCTGACATAGTATATCTTTTAATATCTGAACGTGAGATTGAGCTCCGTTGACAGTGATCCAGGCCTTGCAGTCAAATAAGATGGCGACGGAGGAGTCCTGGTAAACTCTTTCAGCAATGATCTTACCGGCTTCCACGCCGACTCCCACAATAGGTATGAGCCTGGGCCCTGCAGATTGATCCTCCATGAGCCATCTGATCAGCTCGTTTACAGTGCTCTTCTTCAGGTTGGCTGGTGGTTCAGCGAAAGCAAAAGAACGTCTCCAAGCAGTTTCATCTCCATGTTCACCATCGTCATCCTGTTCCCACAATTGACTTAAGGTGTCAAAGCGGGGGCAAATATCATACGTTTTCCGCCGGTCGTTCACCTCACTCAGTCGGACCTTGATGTCTTGGATCCGCGAGGCCAGCCGGTGGCAGACGGAAAGGTTCCGGACAAGACGGGAGACTCGCTGGAAGTGGCTGAGGAGGCCCTTGGATGGCGGCCGGCCGGCTGCGACACACTGCGCATACTGCTCAACGCAGTCCTGACAGTCGTGGGCGAGTTCCACCGCCTGCTTGATCCATGGCGCGCACTTGTTGTAGTGGTGGCGGTCGAGGGTGCTGGCCTGCTGTTTCAGGAGCAGCAGGAGGAAGGCGTCCATCATCTCCATCTCGTCCTTGATGAACTGCATGTCGCGGCGGACGCGGCCAAGCAGCCGTGCCTTGTCAGCGAGCACGGTGCTGATGCGGCCCAGCAGCGTGTCGAGGACGCCCTTGACTGAGCCGATCACGAGCTGATCTGCCATCGCCGGCGGCCACAAAGATCGATTTGCATTTGCTGGTTGGTTTCAGTGGGTGGTGATCACTCCAAGCAAGCTAAGGGAGTGAAGCTAAATAGCAGGAGTACTTGGCTAGCTAGCGCTGCACCTGCACGTGGAGTGGCTCGCATTCGTTGTATGGCTGACCCATCCTCCGCTGACCTTAATTGTGGATTAGTTTTAACATGGAACGCGTGGTTGACTTTCTCCAAATATTATTACGCGTAATCGTGTCGTCCTAGGTAGCTTGATGCCCTTGTATCTTATCTTATCTTATCTTATATATCTTTACCTACTTAAAACATTGGTTGGTAGTGTTTCTGCCCTCCATTAGATGTTTCTGTCATCCGTCCGTACGCGCCGAAAAAAGAGGTGAAGGCACTGTAGTGTCGAGAAGGAAAAGTAGACTTCTGCTGTGACTTTTTGTCCTTAGCCCGATTGAAGGAAGGACGTAAACTGGACTTCAAAAAGAACGCGGGCCGGAAAAAGACAAAGGAAAAAAGGCTGGTTTGCGAAGAGATGAAATCTGGACTTTTTCTGGAGAGCAGAAAGGTTGGGCTGGATTCGGCCCTGATCTTGGAAGGAGAATTAAATTACTTTTTCAATCTCTATCTCTTCTCTACTATTTAAAAAGAAAAAAGTTCACAAGAAAAATTCCTCCAAAATTCCTAAAATTCCTCCAAAAAAAAAGGTTCGCGAAAAAAAAAGTTCCGCGCAACGTTAAAAAATGGTCCAATTTAAAAAAATCTCTATCTCTCCTATTTAAAAAGACAAAAATGTTTTCATCGTCCGTCTGGAAAAAAAGTTCGCAAGAAAAATTCCTCCAAAATTCCAAAAATTCCTCCAAAAAAAAGGTACACAGAAAAAAAAGTTCTGCGCAACGTTTAAAAATGGTCCGATTTAAAAAAACCGGTTCGACATTTTCAGCTTTTCCAAAAATTTCTCAAACTCAATTCGGAAATTTAAAAGCAAATTCAATTTTCCTTTTTTGAATTACTTTTTTATCAGTATTCCCATGTTTAAAATTCATTCAAATTCTCATATATCAAAATCCACCTAAAGATGAAAAAGTTTATATAAACCGCGCGAGAAAAAAACGTCGTTTATAAAAAAACCGCTCCGAAAAAACTGTTAGAAAAAACGCCGTTTACAGAAAAAGATCGAAAAAACCATCTGACTCAATGCGAGAAAAAAACCGCCGTTTATAAAAAAAATATTTCAAGAAAACTGTCCAACTCAACATGAGAAAAAACCACCGATTATAAGAAATCCATTTCGAAAAAACCGTCCGACTCAACGTGAGAAAAAAAACACCATTTATAAAAAAAAGCCTAAAAAAGGCAATCGTAAAAAAATTTAAAAAGAATAAAAAAATATCCGATTTGTATGGCAACGCAAAAAAAGCCCATAAAAATTACAAAATTAACATAGTTATACATCATTGAGTATGGCTCTACTTATAGCTAAAGGCCTAGGCGAAAGATAGGAGTGAACTGAAATACATAGTGGGCTTCTATTTTATTTATAAGGTATAAACTATTTATCGACTATATAACACGGGTTTTTTTTGTTATCCGTAGCAACGCACGAGCATTTTTGCTAGTAATACTTAAAAAATCCATAACTTTCCGATCGTCGCCAAGGCACTTTTGTTTGTCGCTGTGCGCTTTCGTCCGTCGTGGTAGTGTCCCCTTCCGCTTTGTTCACGAAGTCATGATCCCCTCCGCCCTCTACGCTTCCTTCGTCCGTCTCTCCCAAACCGACCGAATCGGATGCATAAGAGGACAAGGCAACAAAGATGGAAGCATGAACCCACGAACAAATCTAACCCAAATTTCCTCCCCAAAACCCAATCATGTGAACAAATCGGGCCTAAAAAACAACTTTATGGTAAAACCAATTGAATCTGAGAAGAAAATGAAATTTATACTCAGCTAGGGTGGATGCCGCAGGGAGTGCCCGCGCTCGATCCGTGTCGCCGGTGCCCAATCTAGGCTTGATCACATCGCCGGTCAGGAGAGGAGAGCAGGCGCCCAGATCTGCGTCGCTGGTCGGGAGAGGAGGAGAGCAGGGGCACCGATCAACGAGGAGGAAAGGAGGGCCCTCGACGAACTCTCACCGAGATTTGTGCTGGTGCCATCGAGCTCACTGTCCGACAAGAGTAGGGGGCACCGGCCAGGGGAGTAGAAGATGATGGACCCTGACGAGCTTTCGCGCCACCACCATTGAGCTCCTCATTTGAAGAGAGGAGAGACGGTGGTGGCGGAGGAAGATGGTGAGAGGAGAGACGAGCGCCGGCGCCGACCCCCAGGACGCGGCCGCAATGGGGCCCTTCGCCGACAGCTCGCGCTGCGCGTCTGCTGAGGGGCCGATCTGGACACCGCCGCCTAGGGAGGAAACTCGTCGAAGAGGGGGACAAGCGGTGGCGGGGTCGCTTCTTCGTCGCAAAGGTGAGGTCCTTGTGAGCTGAGGAGAAAAAGGACAGGGTTAGACTATTTGATAGAGGCAGAGGAGGGGAGAGGGAGAAAAAGATAGGAGAGGGGCTGACATGTGGGTCCGGTAGGAGCTTAAGGGTATATGTGTACTTTTTTAAGAGATATTTAACTATTTGTCACTCTTAGATATGGTATTTAACGATTTGTCACTGGGCCCACATGTTATAGACACGTAAGGGTTCACATGTCATAGACTATAAGTGACAAATTGTTAAATGTCATATCTTAAAAGTGACAAATAATTAAATGTCCCATTTTTAATGTTGTATATGGTGTAAACTATAAAAGTTTTAAATGGTTCGCTAATAGAAAATATTGTAGGGGCTGATATAGAAAAAACTTAGATCTGAAATGAAAAACTTACTAGAAGTACCTTCCGCCTTTCACCTTGGGTTGTGTGTTCTAAGTGAGTATTTTGCACTGTAAACGGCCTAATGACACCAACACCTCAATTGTCATCGTTGTCCCCGACGTCACCCATTGGATCCTCTAGACATCATCACCTTCGTTTAGGCGAAGCGATCAGATTTGGATTTGGGTGAAGGAGTTCATGTTAACTTTTTCATATTTGGGACTCCTCTTATTGGGGAAAGCTTTGGTGGGGAATGCGTATCGGCGTTTGGCTAAGTAGATGAGAGTGAAGAGTGAGCGGACAGAAGGGAAGAGGAAAGGAAGTAATCTCATAGTTTTTTTTAAATAAAATCACTATAGAGTGAGTGTCATACTGCATCGTGGCTACCGAAGATGGTCAGATCCAACCTAGACCAAAGACTGAGTCAAGTCAACTACTACTATACTGATCTTATAGCCTTCTTATACACAAAATAGCACATTCATCACTCATTAATCAAAGAATAAATGTCCCATAGCAAAGTAATGTTTTATTTTTTAAAAAACAATGTTTTATCTAAACCCTTAATAATGGAATATGTTATGTCGCAGTTTTAGTAGAACCATTTTCTTTCTACAAAATTATAGCTAAAGTTGAGTTGGTGGAAAAGAAATAGATTCTACATGAATAATATCTCTTCAAGATCATGAAAATTAAATTTTCCTTTGCAACACACAGGCCTATTTTCTAGAAATTACTAATTTATGCTGCCTCGTTCGTCAGAACTGCACTGAATCTATAATATCTAAGCTGCTGTGTTGATTTTTTTGACATATAGAAGGGAGAGAGGCTCTACATCATAACCATTGTATTATAATGGTGTGTCAAGAGGATACAAGGTGTGTTGTTCAACCTGTTCAAATATTCTGAAGCACTGCATTTTGATCAACTGTTAAAATATTCTAAAGCTCTGAATCTTGATCGAACTGATCTTCCACTGTGCTTCATGCTAAGGTGATTTATGTGTACTTCTTGTCTATCATAACAGTGTTGACGTAGAATCGCGCCGTCACACTTTGAGCATGTTATGTGCAACCCGCTACGGTACCCAAAGACGCATCGCCATAGGAGAGGGTAGATGCCGCTGTGGATGGACCCTGTCAGGGTGAACGCGCGCTGGTTTGTCCTAGTCTCGGTAGGCCAGCTAGGCGTCTTCTAACGCTGTAAAGATGAGAGACAACGAACAATTGGAGGATTTCGGAAGAATAGACTTTGGGATAGATACCAAGAAAAAGGAAAATGTAGAATACAGAGGGTTAATAAATTGATTTTGCCGATTGATTGGTTGTTTCAATCGGCCTTAGCCCTCTTATATTTATAGGAGATGTGGACTTGCTTCCCAGTGTTATTTTGCATGTCCAATTAAGTGTAGAAACCAATTAGGACTCTAAAATCTCAGGTCTTAGCAAGGAAACCCGAGAACCAATAAATCAGACTCAAAATCAGACTCCGCTAATCTGACCGGTCACATGTCATCGGTTAGTCTGACCGTCCTGATGGCTACGTTCAGACCGGCCTTCCCTGGCAAGTCTGGGTTCTTTTTAAATTTGGTTATGGTTTCCTATTCTTACTCTAGGAGCCAAATTTGAGTATTAACAAACAGATCAGCAAGTCCTGGAACTCTTCATGTTATCCCTGCACATTCTTTAATCTTGTTTTTGTTGAAGTGGAAATCTGGAGTTTAAGAAGCAAAGACATGCACATTCTGTAATCTAGTTTTTGTTGAAGTGGAAATCTGGAATTTAAGAAGCAAAGATGTAATCGAGAATGTTGCCTTTCTCATTTGCTGAATTTCATTGGTATTTACAGTCACCTGTTGCTGCTGCGCATGCACTGAAGCACTCCATTTTGATCATATGATCTTGTTCTCTGTTCAGTTGTTGTCTGTCTACAGAAACTCTAGTGCTGAAACTGTGCATATTATCACCAAGCAAATTAAGAATCAAGAAGGCTACTACTTATTAGTGCATAACTACGTACTAGTTTTGTTTACTATCCTTTTGTTTGGCTAGTGTGGAAGCTTCAACTCCCTCTGTTTCCAAAAGATTCAAACCCTAGCATGCCCAAGAAGATTTTAAGGGAAGAAGCAAAGGACCATAATGTCCTTAATTAATATAAAAGTTATATTGGTTGATGGGTAGATGAGGAGTATTGAAATAATAAAATTTTTTGTTTTGCGAATTAGTGATAGGTAAGAAGGTAGGAGTTAGTTTATTTTGGAACAAATTTCAAACTCTAGAAGTTGGTTTATTTTGGAACGGATGAAGTAGAGTTTAGTATAACTTGACAGAACAAATTGCCGCCTGTCATCTCCTCTGCTGAGTTCCATCAGTTGCATAAACAGATATTGATAGTCACATGGTCACCATGTTTCAGGCTTCCAGCCGTTTGCCCACCGGCGACGCCGGCATACTTTCGTTGTTCCATCAGTTCCATTGTTCCATTCTATTTGGTTCGTGTGGAATCTGCCCAGGTTTAAAACGAAAGATGAAATGATGTCTTATGATCCTATCTCCTTTGCTGAATTCCATCAGTTTCAGAAACAAAACTGAGTTTAAAACTCTGAACCCCCTTCATCAGGCTTGAGCGGCCCGGATTGAGTGGAAGGATCAGCTCCTCGACGCCAAGTGTCGGCGATTTGTGTTGGGCCTTCGTGGTGGGCTTCAGGCCCAATACGGCACATATCTAGGCCCAACTTCTCTTACACCGCTTCTCTGTCGGTCTCGGCGGTGGAGATTTTACTGGGGAATTCGGTCTCTGTTTTAAACTAGTTGACCAAGAAAGTCAGACAGATCATCCCATAGTTTTTTTTCTCTTTCTGTAAAGTATAACTTTTATACAATCCTTTTCTCTGGCTATATTCAATTAAACTAGCTAGATGACCCATGTAATTACGCAGTTAGCATCTATATAAAATTATATATTTTTTACATATAATTTTACTTAAAATTTGTTAA